CAGGGCAGCGCTGTGCGGCGGCCGGCCCAGCAAGCGCCTGTGAGGCGCCTGGTAGGCAACCGCAGGGCAGCGCTGTGCGGCGGCCGGCCCAGCCATCGCCTGTGAGGCGCCCGGTAGGCAACCGCAGGGCGGGGCTGCGCGGCGACCGGCCCACCCAGCGCCCGTCAGGCGCCCAGTAGACAACCGCAGAGCAGCGCCGTGCGGTGGCTGGCCCATCCAGCGCCAGTCGGCTTTCTTCGGGGGGCACTGTCACTGTCACACCCAAACAAGGAATACTTGCTTCACACAAAAATAACCTATTAAAAACCAATTATAACAATTCAGACAAAAATAGGCAAAAAACGGAGGCAAATAAAAATCAATTAAAACATAGATTGGACGTACGCTTGAATTTTTATTGGAGTGCCTCTCGGGGAACCCCGTGCGGTTACGTTCGGGAGGCTGTCCCTCTGGTCCACGGCGGTCTGGCCGTTCCAAACGACTCACCCGTAGCTAATAATATCACTCGCCGAAATGACAAAACTTCGAATGGGACAGCGGGGCCCAAAAAATGCCTGGTATTTCATTACTTGTTACAGAGGCAGCCGATAGCGAGGGTTTGCGGCGGCGGCGTGGGGGTTTACCTGGTGCCCGCCGGCGGGAAGCAGTGCACGTTGCACGTGCTCGCCGGCGGGCCGGAGAGGCCGGGTGAGTCGCAGCGGCGAGCAAAAAATTTGAAATCAATCAATCAAAAAGTGAGTGAGTGAGGTGAGTGAGGTGTGGTGAGGTGAGGTGAGGTGAGGTGAGGTGAGGTGAGGTGAGGTGAGGTGAGGTGAGGTGAGGTGAGGTGAGGTGAGGTGAGGTGAGTGAGTGAGTGAGTGAGTGAGTGAGTGAGTGAGTGAGTGAGTGAGTGAGTGAGTGAGTGAGCGCGCGAATGAGTGTCTCTGGAATGGCCATTATACCTGCTTTGCGTCATGTCGCGCGCACCGAGCGTCGCCACGGGCAGTCTTCTTCCTCCCCCGACAGCATCCGGGAGCCCTCCCCCTGCCCCCCCCCCACAAGTGCTCAGTACGGCAGTCGCGCACGCGACAAGAAGCGGTATAGGTGCAGCGCGCCTGCCAGCTGCCAGCTTGGGCTGGGGGGGGGGCGGAGTAGCCGCCGTACTTACTGATTGGAGGGTGTGCACTGGACACACACAATACGGGGACCGCCGCCGCACCCCGGAAGCTGGGCAGACGAGCCCCGCGAGAACGGCGCTCACCTTTACAAGAAGATGAAGCCGAGAGGCTGGGGGAGGCTGCTGCTGCTGTTGCTGGGGCAGGTCCGGGCCGCGGCCGACCCCCCGCGATAGTCTTCATCGCAGCATGGCGGCTGATCCGCGACTGATGCGAGCGCGCGCGCGCTTCCCCGGATCCACCAATGAGTCCCATACAGACACGACTGAGGAGAATCGATTTAAAACGAATTCCTTGAAAATTGTCAAGAGAATGTGTGTGCGTGTGTGTTTGTGTGTGTGTGTTGGGTGCTGTGCTGGCCCGTGCAGAGATTCGGCCGGAATATTTTGCAGTCGTGGCTCTACCGCAGTACCGCGCCGGGCTTGCCCACTACAGTCACTCACCACCACTAATAAGGCTTACGGCCCCTGGCGAGTAATAAAGGCAACGCGTCCATGCACGCCGACATTCGCGGTATACTGTTCTATACTAAATTTTGTGATCGGGGGTCTGTGGTCCATATATTTTAAAAAATAAAAACCATTTGTATTAGTACGTCAAAAGTGAGCCAACAAGCCGTCTACAGAGTCATGAATGCAATCAGTTTACAGTAGGACGCATATGAATTTGGCATAAACACGTGACCGCGGTGTTGCGTTGGTGACAAGAGCAGTGGAGCCCGCCCCGCCCCCAGCGACCGCAGGGGCCGCTATCCATCTATACTGCTCCGGGGCCCTTGCCCCCGGGGCCAACCCCACTCTCCCCCTCAAGACACCCCTCTCCCCCCTTCTTCTCGCTGGTTGGGATTATTTTTCGCCGCCGATAGTGGAAATGAAACAAAAGTTGGCGCATCATCTGCTCATCTCAGAATGCGGAAAAAAGGCGTGGGTTTACCTGCGGGCTGATTGGGGTGGGATGGTGGTGGTGGGGGGAGGGGGGGTAGAAGAGGGGGGGGGAGCACGGGACGGGAGCAGGGGGCGGGAGACCGCCATACAAAGCGGTAAGACCCCCGAGGCCCTGCCTGGCGCGGAGAGAGACAGAGAGGGGGGGGGGGCTGTCCCCACGCATCGCTCCCGGGGCGACAAACTGCCCGTGGCAATATCAGCTGATCGAGAGGCACCACCACCTTCCGATACCCCTGCCGCCACCCCGGAGCTGACGCATATTAGCGAAATTGGAGCTAGAATTGGGAAGTCAGCGTGCTTGGCCTGTGTTCGGGCAGCCATTTGTCTCTGTCTCTGTCTGTCTCTTCCCCCCCCCCCTCCCTCTCTCTCTCTAAACGCATTTTAATGCGCCACCGTTTTAGAAATAGCCTATGCATGCCACGGCTCGGCAGGGTTGGGAAGCTCGGAAGCTCTCTCGTCACGAGGGTCGGCGCCCTAGAGAGGCCCCGTGCCCATAGGGCGTGGCCGGAGCGGCCAGAGCAGAGGCTCGTCCCTGGGGGCGCGTCGCGTGCCGCTGAGCGGGTGGGTGGACTAGCCCACACGCAGGCGTGCGGCCGGGTTGCCTATGCGCCCGGCTTGGGTGCCACTCGGGAAAAAAATGATTAGCTGTTTAGCTAAACCAATTATAGCTCAATGAGGGATAAATATTATTTACCCATGCAGGTCAAAATTTAGTTATTATTTTTTAGCTACTTAGCAAAATATTTACCCACAAACGTATCTTTTAAAACTAGACAGCAATGTCATGAATCATGTGGAGACATAGAGTGCTTTTCAAGAGTCTTTTAGTGGGCAGTTTTTTCGAACAAAGAAGAACAAAAAACAAAAAGCTGAGACCATTGGTCTGACTCGCACCGCGCCGGACACCCTGCGGCTACAACCAAATCTGCGCTGTTGGCCGTCAGACCTGAGTCACTTCTCCGTGTCAAGCCTATCGCCATTCTTTGTCATTGTCCAAGAATTTGGCCATTCCCTGAACAATTTAAAAAAATGAATCAATCAATAAATGAATGAGAGATTGAATAAAGTGAAGACATTTTTTAAAAGCGTCCGTCGTCTCGCACTACATGATGGCATGGATTTTTTTCTTTTATCAGAAAGTGGGACTGTTGAGTGGCTGTTGGTGCACTTGCTCCGAGTTTAGTGCGCAGTGCCTCCAGACGACGCGGGTCGCCCAGCCTTCTCATCTGGGCTAATGACTAGTGTGGGATTGGTCGGATCATTCCCTCTAGCAGCGGGGCATCAGCATCGCAGTCGACAATGCAGTGACAACATGTTCAGTGAGGGGAGCGCGGGAGAGGAGGGGAAGAGGAGGAGAGGATAGGAGGGGGAGAGGGGGGAAGGGGAAGAGGAGAGGGAGAGAGACGGAGTGAGGGGAGCCGAAAGGATTCATTGAGTGCGATGCCCGGGTAGGGGCTCTGGGAGGGGCCGTCCCCAGGCCGGCGCGCAGCCCGCGCAGTGGTAGCCTGGACCGACGCGCGATCGCGCCCAGGACCTCGACTACCGTGCGGGCCGCGCGCAGCTCGGGGACCTCCACGACGACCGCGCCATGAAGCAGCCCGTCGACGCCGCCGTCCGGGTCGGCGAGTGCGGCTGCGAGGCCAAGGGCGCCGCCAGGGAGGCCGTCGTGCGCTGGGGGCTCGGGGGCCTTCTCGTCCTGCAGGTGCGTGCGTTCGTGCGTGCGTGTGAGTGTGTGTTCGTGCGCCCGAGTGTCACCTGAATGTGTGTGCGTGTGGTGGCCGCAGGTGGCGCTGTCGCTGTCCCTCTACGCGTGCATCCGCTCGCTGCAGCAGGAGGTCCGCGCCGTGACGCTCGTCGAGCTCCGGGACCGGGAGCAGGCGGCCTGGGGCGCCCGGGCGGTGGCGTCCTGGGGGGCTCCCGTCCCGCCCGCGCCCCCGTACCCGCCGGCCCGCGCCAAGCGCCGCGCGGACGCCGCCCCGCAGTACAAGCCGACCCACGAGCTGATGGAGGACAACGCGCTGCCGTCCAGCTTCGGCACCACCCTGCCCCCCAACGGCGGCCCCGGCGACAAGGGCTCCTGGATCGTGTCCATGTCCAAGATACCGGTGAGTGTGACGACGGCCGCCGCCGCGTCGCGCACCACCTCGCCGACGAAGACCTCACCGCGCCCCTCGTGTTGCAGACGGAGACGGTGCAGTCCTTCTGCAGGCAGCACTGCCCGCCGGGCTCCAAGGGCGAGCCGGGGCTCATGGGCCCGCCCGGGGTGCGCGGCGTGGAGGGTCCGCGGGGCGAGCGTGGCGACAGGGGCTACCCCGGCGAGCAGGGGCCCAAGGGGCCCAAGGGGGACATGGGCCGGGCAGGTGAGCGCAAGTGCAGGTGGATGAGTTGTCGCCGTGAGTCAGGCCCTGCCTGGCCCGCGGGGGAGGCGGCCGATAGCGCGCGGACTGTGACGCTGACGCAACCCTTGTGTGAGCAGGTCACCCGGGGGTCGATGGCATCGACGGCGTGCCCGGCGAGCCGGGGCTTGACGGCGTGCCAGGCAGGAACGGCGTCGACGGCATCCCCGGCACCGACGGCAAGTCCGGCACGGACGGCATCCCGGGCAAGGCCGGCACGGACGGCAAGGACGGCAAACCAGGGCTCTCGGGTCCGCCGGGCCCCGCCGGCCCTCCGGGCGTCCGAGGTGAGGTCCCCATCAACAACAACACGACCGCCGCGCACCCTAGCCGACGCCGACGAGTAACCCGTCCTCCTTGTGCTCCGCAGGACTGCCCGGGCCGCGGGGCAAGGCCGGCTCCAACGGCACGTCGGGGCTGCCGGGGCTGCCGGGCATCTGCGTCTACAAGTACAAGGTGAACGGCCAGTACCCCAACGCCAGCGAGTTCCTCATCCCACCCTCCATCCCAGGCTCGGGGCTGCTCACCCCGCAGCGCCCCATCATCGTGGAGGAGCTGAAGAACGTGCGGCTGCGGTGCGCTGCCACGGGCCACCCGCAGCCCACCGTCGTCTGGACCCGGCTGCCGGGAGGAGTCATCCCCCTGGGCTCGTGGCAAGGTAAGGGGTCGTGCCTATTCTACGTGACTTTTAGGGGGTTCGAATCTAATGGGGTCCCAAAACGATCAGGAACATCATTGGAGTCCATACACACCCCATGATATATGTAGTACCCTGCTATGGGGTCTCATAATGATCATTCGATGATCCTGATCGTTTTGGAACCCCATAATTTGTGTACCCCCCTAAGTAAGAGTCTCGTAGTATTGGAACGACCCTTAATCTTCACAACTATACACACACGAATTGTCCTCCTCCCTTTTTCTTGCTACTATTGCACTTTCGACTGGCGCCTGTATAAGTCCGTCCGCAGTGCCCCAACCACATGGCCCCTCCTAGCAATGCCACAAGTGGCCCTACACCGCACTGCTTTTCTATTTCAGTCAACTCCGTCAGCGGCCACACGCTCAACATCACCAGGATCACGCGCGAGCACATGGGCGACTACACGTGCATCGCGCACAACGGCGTGCCTCCCGACGCCAGCCAGACCTTCCGGCTGGAGGTGCACTGTGAGTGCCGACGAGCCACTCGAGCTCACCCCCCGGGGCCTCGCACCACACCACGCCGCCGTCGAGCACCCCGATTAACCCCGCCGCGTCTGTTTGTCTGTTTCCTGTCTGTTCGACAGTCTCGCCCTTCATCCACATCCAGCAGCAGGTCCTCAGCGTCATCATGAACTCGACCGCGCGCCTCGAGTGCGAGGTGGAGGCGTACCCCGAGCCCGTGCTCTTCTGGGAGGGCCCCGGCGGCCGCGTCATCGAGCACGGAGAGAAGTACCGCGTCGACAGCTCCGGACCCGACTCCTACAAGGTGACACTGGCACTAGAAATTTTAATTTTCTACAAGTTATAATTTTCTGAAATTT